CAGTCTGAACACCTAAACCATTGCCAACGACGCCCATCCATTATTTTCTTATTTACAATCCATAGTGATTTGTCTGCAGGTGTCATTGTTTCATGTCAGTGGTTTTAGATGTAATTTAGTCTAGTGTCTTAGAAGCAACGAGTACTGTGCCAATGAAATTTACTCAATCATTAAAATGTCTTTTTACTTACTCTTTCAAACTCAATTTAAAACCAACCGTGATTCGCATGCAAGGAGGAAATAAGGATCGTGGAAAACGAGGGTTGAGGAAATACATTTAAAACGTTATGTCAACCTTTTTCGTAATTTGTGTGCGTAAGCTCCTTGGGCAGATATCAGCTTTGGGGTTATATTGAAAGCTCCTTAAGACAAGTCTTAGAAAGGAGAACGGCGAAGAGACCCGGCCGGGTCGATACTGGAGGAAATACATCCCTGGAACAAGCCGACCAGGAATTGACTTACCATGCGTGTTTGTTTACCCAACTTTCGAGCAAAGTTGTCAAGTCTCTCAATGCGTAATCTCGGTGACTGTTGGATCGAGGGGTCCGCCGATGCTCGCATTAATTTAAGGGAGAGGCGTCAGATTCGTCCTCCACCCAATATCCTTTTATACATTCAATATGCGTCAAGTAAATATTATTAAACCTTTCTCGCCCCCGTTTTATCTTTTATATTATTAAAGAGAATCTTTCGAAAATGAGAAAATCATGCATATCCCCCTAAACATTTGTCAATGATAAAGTTCTTTTTCACACACTGCGAAAATTTCATGATATATTGCTAGATTATTTATTTTATAAAGCACAATAACAGCGCGCTATAACAACATAAACGCAGACCTAACTTTTTAGGTAAAATGGTTTTGAAAGTATAGATTTTCAAATAAAACCAATGAAATACTCCATAACATCAAACTGGCAGAATTTCAGGCAAGTTTATTCCCTTTTTTCAGGCCACAAAAACCACTCTTTTTGTATTTTTTTACCGACATTGCATCAATTTTATTGGAGTTTTACCCTTTTTTTTGGGTCAAATCGATTTGTCGTTCTTCAAAAGGACTTTAAAGTTTCGCAAGATACTTTGCATAATTTTAATTTATCATAATTATGGTGCGGTAACGCAAGCCTTATCGCTTACATAAACCCTGTAGAGCTAAGCAACAATTATATATAACATTTACAGATGGGAAACATCCCCGTTTCCCTTAAAAATCGAAACAGGGGACCAAAAAATCCACTTTTGTGTCCTAGGACTGTCTTTATGTCGGGTGGCATGCCTACTCGCTACCAGAGGCCACAGCGTGGCACTCCTCGACCAAGTTTGACACACAAAACAACTTTAATAAACAGAGAGAGGCAGGAACCGTTGTGTTTCTAATAATTTTGCCGTTTTTGATAGGTATACTCTTTAATACACTTTTAAAAAAGTAGTAAACAATATAGCTAGAAATTAGGGAATCGATGTGGCTGATTGGGAGAGCATCGGATAGTGGATTGCCACTCTTGCGGTCTTGGGTTCTAATCCCGGAATAGCCACAGATTTTTAATTGCTAATAATACGTTTTGGGCTGATGTCTTCCTATACGGAGACCAGGCTTTCGACCGGGCTTGCTGTGTTACTCAAGAAGATACTTACCAGCATATTTTAATTTATGAATGATCCTACCTGCGGTCATGCCGTGTCCCGTGCGACAGGGGATATCCTCTTATATTCCCGTAACATCTGGAGTCTCCTAAGGAAGTATCCTTGGCTCGATCCTGTTTACAGTATACATTGCTGACATTCTTACTTACCCAAACTCAGTCATCTCCACGTGGTCCACTGGTGTCCAGCCATCTCCTCTTCTCACTCCAACCCAACTGTTGTTAATTTCTATCTACAGTCAGCTCACGTTTTAGAAGATGGTTACAGCAAATGAAAAATCAAAGTGAAAGAAAAAGCAAACTTTTTCAAGTCACTTGGACCTCCATTAAAACTGAATGGCATACTGATAGCGACTGCTAACATAGTACGATACAAGGGAGTGTTCAGTTGCAAAAAACTGAACCGCCGTTACATACTCGTGCTGAGACTACTCGACCAACGATCTCGGCTAAACCTCAACCATTTAGAAAATTTCTCGTTCTTCCGATATGGACTTACGGAAAGGAAGTTTAGTAGAGCTTAACCAAACATTCCATTTCATCCCCTAGTCTCTCCAATCCAAAATTTTAAGAAAAATCCTTAATGGTCCCTTATATTCAGCAAAACCATTCACACTACCTTCATATTCCATATATATATTATGCAGGGTGGGCGACCAAGACCCGAGGGGTTAAATGCCTGGGTAGACTCGTACCCCGTTCGTAAAAGGTCCGGGACTTGGTTGGCTCACGTGTCCTGCATAAACCTCTTGGACTTGTTCACAACCCTCAAGATTTTGGACCATTTTATCTCTGGGAGTGATTTGGTGATGTCCTCTCCTTCAAAGATTTCAAATCTAGACCTAGCATACCTATAGACATTCTGCGAGGTAGTGCTTTGCCGTTTCTTCTTTTATTTCGCAGAAGCGGCAAAAGGGATCTGGTAGGATACCCATTACGAAGAGGTGTCTTCTCAGTGGGCAGTGGCCCGTCAGAATACCTATCAGACTCCTAATTCCCTTCCTTGGGATAGAGAATAGCCTTTTCGATTCTACTGGTTTAATCACCTTAACAAACTCTTTCCATTGCCTGTGTCTGGGAGATAGATTCCACTCCTTAAGGAATTGTTTCATACCCCAGTTTTTAATATTCTCTTTCGCTGTGCTCATAGAGTGAGGTAATACCGGTTGTGGCCCGACAAAAGCTGTATTAGAGCCTTCTTTGGCCAGGTTATCCGCCTCTTCATTGCCATGGTGTCCTTTATGTGCTGGTATCCAAATAAGGGTTACCGTGTTCTCAAACCTGGAAGAGATCCTATTGATAAGATCTATAGTTTCCTCCACCAGTCTAGATGTTGACAAATCCTTTTGTAATGACCTAAGACTAGCCTGACTGTCAGAAAGATTTTAATATCTTTTCCCATAATTTTATTTTCCATAAGTTTTCTACAAGACACATTGATGGCCCAGATTTCTGCCTGAAAAACGGAGGTGTTATTGCCAAGAGGGGAGGAGATTTTTGGTATGTAGATTCCTGCACCACTCCCTCTACCTTTGATAAGTGAACCATCTGTGTAGCTGTCTATGTTACGATGGTCATCATCCAGACTATAATCATAATCACAAGGGGTGACTACCTGAAAGTGCTTTTTCCCCGAAGGGGTTTTAATCTTTTTATCACTAACGCTTAATAATTGACCGTTAACCTTGCTCAATAGTTGAGAGATTTTCGAGTGACCTATGTTATTGCACTTATGATTCCAGCTGCCCTCACTAATTAATCTGTAGAAGCTGATTAGTGGTCTGACCTTAACCTCAATGTGAAGGGGTGTGGTATTGGTTATGATTTCAAGTGTTAGGGTGGGTGTAGTTGAAAATGCTCCTGTCATCATCAAACAACCTAGTCTTTGAAATGACCTTAATTTATTACTATTCCCTTTATTTTCTAGACCTTTCCACCACACTAAGGCTGCGAAAAAGAATCTGGGTAGAATAATTGCAGTATATAGCCATTTGGCTACCCATGATTTGATGCCCCATGTTTTACCGACAATTCTCCTAAATTGTACCATTGATATGGTGCCTTTCCTGTAAATGTTATTAATATGACCTTTCCAATCAGGTTTCCTGTCAAGTGTCACACCAAGGAATTTGATTGAATCCACTAACTTTAATTCTGTGCCCTGACATTTAGGGTTTTTAAAATTACCTAATGTTCTTCTCCTGCTAAACATTATCAGTTCTAGTTTAGCAGGATTAATTGGTAAACCTTTGTCACAACATATTCCATAGGGAAACTCCCCTGTCAGAAATTCCACAATACCCTTTCTGTACATTCAAACCCCAGGCCGATGGATTTCCTTCAGAGGTGTGTGTGTGTATGTATGTGTATGTGCGCGCGCGTGTGTGTGTGAGTGTGTGTGTGTCTGTGGTGTTTGTCTGAAATGTGAGGATGTGTCACGAGTGGATAGCTTCTCCCATCATGTTTAATTTTATCTATATGTATATATTATTATATCAGGAATTATCAGATTTAGTTATTTTAACTAAAGTTAAAGATGTAAATAATAATAACAATAATAATTTTTTTTTTTAATAGAGAGAAAGTGATTTGAACCCTCATGTGCGACACCCAACGGGTAGCTGTACTTTAAGCCCTCTTGTATAACAGGAATTACTTTAGTAAATCTTAACTATTTTCCTAATTTCCTAAAAACACATTTTATTTTATAATTAATTTATTAATAATTAAATATTATTAATACAAATTCTATTTAGATTCGCCTCTGTAGGGTATAATGAATTCTTGTATTGGATCTTCTTGAGGTCATTTTACAGGTGAATAAAAACATCGCTATTGGGTTTCACCAAGCTTTCGGCGAATGTTCGATCGATATCAACTAGAATTCATAATGAATTCTTATTTTTTATCCTGGAGCAATTGTATCAAATAGAAGTTTTCTCCCATTCAAAACTTCCCCTCTCGCCAGCTGATCAACATAATTTTATGCAACTTTAACAGCAAACTCTTAAACAATTGTACAATGAAAAAAATGTAATATTAATGAGTATGTTGAGAATAATGCTCGAGGATGTGATAAATTGCTACATAAGCACTACCTATTTAACCTAATCCTACATGAAAAGTATAAATATAAAAAACACTATTGCAGTTCAAATAATAGCGATTTATTAAGATTAAGAAGTGATTTAATTATTAAAAAGAAAGATAAAACAAAAAGGAATGGATACACCATCCATTCAAAGCCTGTGTCTACGGTTTAAAACCGTATAAGCGTAAATATAAATAATTCATAACATATTTTATACTTTTGCATGAGTGTAAAACTAAAGGACATGCTTTGTGTTTTATTTCCAGGCGAACTGTGCCAACCGTTGAATTGCAAAAAGAAGGAGTTATGCCTTTTGGAGAACCCCTACACGGCGGTTTGCGTGAGCAAAAAGGATCTGCACAAAAGCGGAGACCTCGTCGTACCCAAGTCGAAATTAAGTCCGGAAGAAGCCGCTAAGTATTCGCAGGAACAGTCTGACGATGACGTCTTCTACGACTCCGACGACGAGGACGACGATCCCGATTCGAACCAAGACCTCATGACGTAAGTACATAAATCATGTAAACATATCTGATTAATGCGTTTAATTTTGACATTTACAACATAGAATGTGAAAAAACATCGGTGTACAAAATTAAGTTTAGTCGATTATGTCCTTTGTGTATTAGGGATTACGGCGAGGCAAATTAATTAACATATTGGTACTGATTACCAGACGTGTTTCGGGTTCATGCAATCATTAATGCAATGACAAACACATCACACAGGCGGCTGTTTATGATGATAACTTGAAACACGACAAAGGGAGATTAGTTGAATTGCTCTGTACAGAGAAAGGACTATGCGCTTTTTTTAGTATGGACTGTTGTAATCTACAAACTTTAAATTTTAAACAATATCAGTCTTATTTTTACATCGATTAATCCTTTATTCAATAATGTACATAAACAATGTTTTCTATTAATCACAATCAGAATTTGTGAGCAACTTTTGTAAGAATGGGTAACTGCGTGTTCGGGTGTTGAACGGTAAAACACGATGGCAGCAAGATGAGATCATCATGATTCGCCCGGGGCCAAAGCAAGTCATCATGTCGAAACAAAAATTTGCATCTAAATTAAATGTGGAAGGTGGATATTTTCTGAGAAAAACACGTAAAGAGGATTTCATTTTTGTGCTTTGAGCTTGGCCTGCTTCAAGCAAATCGATCGACACGAAGAAATTAAATGAGTTCGCATCGTGCCTCAACCAGCTTATAACCCTGATCCATCACAGTCAATGGGACGATTCTGCATGGACGGTTTTTATCATTTATTTAATTCTCCCTTAGGCATAACATTCATTCTAGGGTCAATTTGTATTAGCATTATTCAAATGTATGGTCAATTTATGGATACTACTGTTGGCAGATTCGAGTTGGAAACTCCTTTTCAAACTTCATTAATAAAATATTTACCCGTCCAAAATAGTTGGGTACGTAATCTTCGAGGTATTTTGGTTCCTGTTGGGTTTGCTTAAGTACTTGTGAAAATCAAAATTGATCAAATGGAAAACCTGATGTATTTTTGTTATTATAATGAAACCACCTGCCGTCGGAGCACTGTTCTGTGAAACATTGACAGATGAATGTCGAATTTCCCGATTTAATTCCTTTGTGAAAAACAGTATTGCTCGGCAGGCATCAGTTCAGCGCAGGTATTAATGTTCGTGCTGTAACGGTGTGACAAAAGTTCTGTAATCATCAATTGATTAAAGTATTTAGTTGAGATAAAAAAGTCAGTGTCACGAGCGGGATTCGAACTAACTTCCCATCTCAACCGCACCTTTTGAATTTTCCCTCCTTTTTGCCATTTTTCAAAGGAGGGAAAATTCAAAAGGTGCGGTTGAGATAGGAAGTTGATGTCCGAGCGGATCGAGGTCACGATAGTCCAAGTGGTAGAGCAGCGGCGTATCTAGCCGAAGATCGTGGGTTCGAATCCCGCTCATGACACTGACTTTTTATCTCAACTAAAAACCTTAATCAATTGATAGATATTAATTGGTCAAGCGGACCACGAAACTAGTGAATTTAATAAGTTCTGTAATCACTTTATGCGATGTAGTATATCCAAATACGTATAGGCTACAAATTAAAAAAAAGTTTTATTAAGATGATCAGGGGCAAATCAATCATTTATCAAAGCGCTAAAACCCATCTTGGCAAAAGATAAAAAAATTGAAATGGAAATTCCTCCCTGTCACACATCGTGTTCGACCTGGCGGAAATCGTGTTTAATGCTGCGTGGTCGCCGCTGATAACCCTCTGTGTTTTTTCGTGATATTTTTTCTTTCCTCTTTCGCAAGTTATGTTATTAGCTGCATCTCGAGATTTAAAAATAATCTCGATGACTTTCCATACCGTGGCCCACAACGATCCAAAGAAAAGCCATTCCATATTTCGTGTAATGTTTATCCCATGTTTTATGCCGTTTAAAGACGTCTTTGAATAGTGGCATGAATGGAAAGTCGTCTGTTTGTCGCATGGCTCGGTTGCCACGAGCTTTGTGGTGCGAAACTAATCTCGAATAGGGAATTGAAGCTTCCAACTTGAAACCAATAGATAGACGAGCTTTCAGAGGGTTTCCGTAATACATTTTCCAGATTTCAATTTATTTTTAGCCATTTAATAAATCCTATTTTTAATTTAAACAAAAAATGAGATAAGACTAACGTTTGTTTAATATTTTCATTAGTTATTTGGAGATCGTGATGGTTTGGTGTGACGTAGGTTTTAGAAAAACATTTTCTTTTCATGCGAACGTTCGATGTTTATTGAGATCATCTTCAGGACCTGAGATTTATAAACATTAAAATGAAAATTTTAGATTTAAAAAAATGAAATTATACAATGCTAGAATATTTTAGATTCAATCAAAGTGTTTGTTTTCCTCGTAGATGTGGAATGTTTGTGCTTGTGTGTCGTATTGAGAGTGCTAGTGAGATATTGCTGTTTTATGTATATATACTTTTAAAGGGGTGTACGCTAATATCATTAATCAAATTCAATATCGATAACATACATATATTATCACCACATCACACAAAACATATAAAACAAACATCACATTCCACACATCAAATATTTCTACATAGTCTAATTCTTCAACATTTTGGCTTTCCTTTCCCTAATTATCCCCGTCTATATAATCCTGAAAGGATAATCAGACCGGACCACGTTTTTCCCATTGTCGGCTCTTTTCACCTCCAAGAAGACGACTCCCACATAAAAATGTTTTTCTATTCCCAACTTCCTTCCCCACCCCTTCAAAATCCAACGTATGTAAACAAAAACCAACAATATCTCACTGACACTCTCAACACAATAATGACACATCTACACAGAAAATAAACACTTTGAGCGAGTACAAATACTTTGATTGAATCTAAAATTTTCTAGCATTGTCTATTTCTTTCTTTTTTTTTAATCTAAAATTTTCTATCGTTGCATAAATTCATTTTTTTTATCTAAAATTTTTATAACATTGTATAATTTTTTTCGCATCCGACATGAATTTGTAAAATTTAAACAACGTTTATAAATCCCAGGCCCCGAAGATGATCACAATAAAGGTCGAAACGTTGGCATGATAAAGAAAATGTTTTTCTAAAACCTACGTCACACCCGACCGCAACTCACGATCTCCAAATTATCATTGGCTAACGGTCACTAAACACCACACAAGTTATAACTCAAGTTTTAATGCTTAATCCGAAAATATTATTTATTTACTATTATTATTCTGGTGTTGTCTGTACTAACGTACTGTTACAAAATATTTTACAAACGTAATGCCAAAACTAGTATGATATTATTGGGTTGTCCGGAAAATAATGCAGGATTTTGGTATTAAACAAAAAAAAAGAAACTAGTTACTTTAAAGCAATGTTCTTTAATCAAAATAATTTCCCATACNCAAATGAGTAATCCTGTAAACGTAAACAGAATATTTTATATAGATTTTTTTTAATGAAAACTTAAAATCCTGCATTATTTTCCGGACAACCCGATATATCTAATACAGAAAATAAAGTTAACAATAAAGAAAATTATTCTAATGAAATTAGACTGTCTATGAACGATTTCAGTTCTCAATTAATTGTACACAATTTTTTTTCGAAATGAAAAATCTGTGTCACAGGCGGGATTCGAACCCACGACTTTCGGCTTAATACGCCGCTCAGTTATTTCGTTTCTAAATACTAGTTTAATTCCTGAATGACATAATCTTGTATTTTTCTTATTGATTGAATTACTGTCTGATTATAAGCTAATATCACCAAATCATAAGCGTACATTTTCTTGAGCAAAACGCCTCTGCTTAAATCTGTTTCTATATCATTTGAGAAAAGGTTAACAACGCAGGATTAGTACAGAGCGTTACCAAACATCAAGATGAAGATGTAAGGTTCGGGTGTGTAATGTACGGCGCCTTTGAGAGCTGTTGTATGCCCCCTTTCTGTACTTACAGCACACCAGTGAGTCCTAACTAATCGAGGAATTTGATTCGTAGATCGGTTTCAGTTGAATTTCTTCTACGGTTGTACACCCAACCAATAAATTTTTCAAAATGCTTGCCGGATCTTGATATCATCAATAGGTGTCTCGGCACCGACCTTGAAGTGTTTTCTTGTAGCACGATGTCTCTTTCTATTATCATGCGTGTATATGCGGCAAAGTTGAAGGTTACCAATCGAAAGCTGTTTAAAATTTCCTGTCGACGCTCCAGAACGATTTTGGCTCCATAGCTCAATTTGAAGTTTTCGTAAAAAGTGAAAAATTAACACGTTCCCGAATTATTGAATTTACTGATGAATTCACTAATTTCGTGGTCCGCTTGACCAAGTAATATGTTATAATTAATTAAGGTTTTTAGTTGAGATAAAATTGTCAATGGCACGAGCGGGATTCGAACCCACGATCTTCGGCTTGATACGCCGCTGTTCTACCACTTGAGCTATCGTGACTTCGATCCACTCGGGCACTAACTTCCCATCTCAACCTCACCTTTTGAATTTTCCCTCCTTTTTTCCATTTTTCAAATGTCGCCTAGAATCAAATAGATTACACGACATACGTTATCACACTAATACACAATCAGACAAAAGAAGAAGAAAAATACACGTAAAAAGATTTATATACAATAAAAAAAACCACGTCCCCTAAAAAGCGGAACAGTGGACTCGTTACTGTGAGAACCATTCTTAAATCCGGCTGAATACCCACACGCTCTCTATAAGGAGCCAAGATATAACAAGCTTATATTAAGTGGGACAAATCGAGCAACCTTTCTCTGTATAGGGGCACCTGAGCGTGCTTTGGCCCAGGAGCAGGCGCCTTGTGTCAACCGCGTATGGCTTATTCTTAATTCCTCGTTTCCAGCTCACGTTCTCGGAGAGTCATCTACTGGTCGTGTTGTTGACAGGCAAGAGCCTCTCTGACGATCTCGCCTTGATATTTGTTTATTTGATTTGTTTCCGATTGTGTTCTTTGTGTACGTACTAAT